AGCGGAGTCACTCACCACCTTCCGGAGACATTTGAAACCCCACCTCTTTAAGGAATACCTGGGATAGGATAAAGTAATCCTTCTACCCCCCCCCTTACCCCAACCCCCCCCCCCCCCCCCCCCCCCCCCCAAAAAAAAATAAAACTTTGGAAAGTGGTTGTACTACTGGCTATAAGGTGTAAGTCGCTCTGGATAAGAGCGTCTGCTAAATGACGTAAATGTAAATGTAATATTCCGTAATACTGGCACTAAACACAAGGGGTGCTGTTTTTAAACCCCACCGATACTCTATAATCCGAAGGTTAGCAATGCTAACAAGTACATACAAAATCCCATAGGGAATGCTAACTAAATGCTAACAAGTTTATTGCGAACTTTTTGTACAGTTTCTGACCTAAACTATACAAGTAACTCAAAAATGCTCCTCACAGTTTGCTGCACGTACAAAACAAATATTAGCCAGCTAGGCTCTTGATCCAGGAGTGGATTATCTGCTGTTACCAAGTGAATGCTTGATTTTGGAAGAAGCTAACCACTTAGCTAGATAGCTAACTAGCTACTAAATTAACAAATGCACCACTGCAGAGCATTTAGCACATTTTAGACAGTTAACTTAATATTTATAAGATATCTAAATGGCAAACATTTAGTTGTGAATTCCATACTGTAATTAGATCACCTGGTGCATGCTGCACAACAGTGAGTGACTCACAAGGCTCCATTCTCTCGTCATTGTGTGCTTGTAAACAAACACCATGTGACAGGTGACTGGGGACTACCGTAAGCTTCATAATAATGTGACAGGTGAAATGAAGAACGCAATGTTCTTTATCTCCTAACGTATTGCTCAAGTTGACTGTAGGTATTTACTTAAAAAGTTGCTAAAAATATTCAAATCTATTAAAAACTTCAAAGAAATAGTTTCAACGATATTGACGGTATTGAAAAACCTTCATGTGGCTTTTTCCAAATATCCTGGTATACGGAATATACGGTTGCTCCTACCAGGTGGCGTGGAGAGGATCTGTGTCTGCACCACGTGCTCGTACTACTGGTGTCCCCCAGAGCTCGGATCTAGGCCCTCTCCTCTTTTCTCTTTACACCAAGTCACTCAGCTCTGTCATATCCTCACTTGGCCTCTCCTATCATTGCTATGCGGATGACACTCAACTACTTTTCTCCTTCCGCCCTTCTGACACCTAGGTGGCGACACGCATCTCTGTGTGCCTGGCAGACATCTCAGCTTGGATGTCGGCCCACCACCTCAAGCTCAACCTCGACAAAACGGAGCTGCTCTTCCTCCAGGGAAAGGCCCACCTGCTCCAAGACCTCTCCATCACGGTTGACAACTCCACGGTGTGCCCCTACCTGAGTGCAAAGAACCTTGGCGTGACCCTGGACAACACTCTGTCGTTCTCTGCAAACATCAAAGCAGTGACTCGCTCCTCCAAGTTCACACTCTACAACATCCGTAGAGTACAACCTTTACTCACATAGGAAGCGGCACAGGTCCTAATCCATGCACTTGTCATCTCCCGTCTAGACTACTGCAACTCTCTGTTGGCTGGACTCCCCGCTTGTGCCATCAAACCCCTGCAACATATCCAGAATGCCGCAGGGCGCCTGGTGTTCAACCTTCCCAAGTTCTCCCATGTCACCCCGCTCCTCCGCACACTCCATTGGCTTTCAGTCGAGGTTCGCATCATCTTCAAGACCCTGGTGCTTGCCTACGGAGCAGCAAGGAGAACTACCCCTCTTTACCTTCAGGCTCAAACCCTACATCCCAACCCGAGTCCCTGCCCATCTTTCGAAAACGTCTGAAACCCTTCCTCTTTGTGGAGTATCTTAAATAACTTTAACAGCGCCCTGGACGCACCTCTCCCCCCTGACCTAACCTGACAGCCCATGAGCTCACAAAGTGTTGGCATAATTACCCACTTCCCTCACTCTCATTTGGCTAATGAGGGGACACAAATTGCTGTCGTCTTCAACAACACTCAGCACTAGCAGAGTTGTGCTTGTTCTATGGTAGTCAGAAATATATCAGTTATAGGGATGTATCAAACTGGAAGCACATTCCTATACAATGCTATCTAATTGTAGCATAATATTATGAGCATTGAACAAATGTTGAGGTTGGAGAGGCTTGGCCTTGCACAGCAAACACTGAGCTTGGCTCTGCTCTGTTCTTAAGTGTTAAGGAGAGGGAGGTTCAGTGTAAGTGAATGTTGTTGTCCAGATCTGTGGAAATATAATATCTGTATAAAGTATGGCAGCGCTTGTTGAAATCTTGAGCTTAGCTTCAGCCAATCTAGACAACAGATTAGTTTGTGTAGGCTTGGCTTAGAAATTAGTTCAGAGTGAAGTGCTTGCTCGTGATGGTTGGGTCTGCTGATACAGGAGGTTTGTTGATTGAGGAGGTTGATCTCTGCAAGATTGGAGATACAAGAAGAAATAGAAAGTTGAGAACAGTCCCCCTTTTCAGTGAGGTTGTGTTCTAGAATGTGATTTTGATAATAATAATAATATGCCATTTAGCAGAAGCCTTTTATCCAAAGCGACATACAGTCATGCGTGCATACATTTTTGTGTATGGGTGGTCCCGGGGATCGAACCCACTACCTTGGTGTTACAAGCGCCGTGCTCTACCAGTTGAGCTACAGAGGTAATACAACCATTATTATGGTTTATAAAGTGAAAGAAACATGAGAAGGTGAGAAAATAACTTTTCACTTTCCAGGAAACAATTCAATCATTTGCAGGTCATAGAGATCATAATGAAACTGCACTGCATTAGCTTATAAAGGATTTCTGAAGCATCTACATTGGCCTTATAATGTTTATACATTTGATTTTTGTAAAATTTATTTTATTGATGTAGTATGTCTGTTAGGAAATATGTTGTACAGTTCACTCGTGGTTTATGTAATACAGGATAGTATACTGTCAACAGCTCAGAGTTGCAAATCAAGCATGATACTTCAAAAACAGTTAGATATCTTGGTGCTACACCTGCTCAATTAGGATTTATCTTGACAGATATACTGACACTCTTTTCAAACAGGATATTAATTAATCCCAAGGTGTGTTGCCTCAAATCATAAATGGTTGATTTTTGAAGGCATAAATTATACCACAGTTTATCTTGTTGTGTAAAGTATTGTATTGCGTCTTGTCTGAGATGTAACAATATATATTTTTAAAACAATGTATTAACAAACAAAGCATTATTTAGCAGTAAAACCAAGTGCACCTTCTGCAGACAGTTAATGATCCCGGATAGGAGCATTCATGTAAAGTGGAAATGTGAGATTCATTAGTTTTTGTTGTTAATGAATATTAATCACCAAAGAGCCTTAGAACCCTTAAACCTGACTAAAAGATGAATCTGTTTTTATGTGGAATGTTGCTTGCTTGACTATCGCAGAACCTTTACAAATGGTGGTTATCCTATTCATCCTTAAGGATAATCAGTGAGGAGAAAAGATCCAGCCTGTTTCTATCCCTGAGGATTCCCATTGTTACCACTTCATATAAATCAATGTGGAGAAATTAACAGCTTTAAGCCTTTGGGGCTTCTTGTATTGCAAATGCTTGTGTGAGACTGAGAAAAGTCTCCTACTAAGCTCCTGTAGTTAACATGGCTTGGGATGGGGACAGACAGTCTAACCAAACCATGCCAGATCTAGATGAAAACATTATTTTCTTATTTGTCTTCAAAAGGTCAAAAGTGTATGTAATAATAAATAATAATATGCCATTTAGCAGACGCTTTTATCCAAAGCGACTTACAGTCATGTGTGCATACATTTTTACGTATGGGTGGTCCCGGGGATCGAACCCACTACCCTGGCGTTACAAGCGCCATGCTCTACCAATTGAGCTACAGTTGGCCCTATGGACTTCCCTTGTACAGGAAAAAATAAAACGCTTCTCCAAGGATTATTGAGACCTGACCTCCAAAGAACAGCATGTGTTTTCTAATGTCATTGTCCTCTGTGGTCAGGCCCATGGAAGTGATGGCCTATGGCTCCCAGGGTAGATGCTAAGCTAACGGTGCTCAGATTTCAGGCAGTGTTCCCCTGGGATCAGTCCTTGGGGCCCCTGCAGAGAGAGGACTTGTGATAAGGGTTGATATTGGAAGCTGTGTGAACTTTGTTAAGCTTTTCCTACCCTGCGAAAGGGGGGGGGGGGTCATCCCAAACACCTGGGCTCTCTAACCGGGATCAGGTTGGATTAGGGAGGAGGGCACCATAGAGCCCACTCCGCCCCCACTCCACTCCCCAGTTACCTCTTTTAATAAAACCCATCATTTACCATATCTATGTGCATGATCTTTTATGAGAATATGTTATCAAGGATTGGGATCCTCTATTCATAAAGTATTTAAATTGATCTCAAACTAATATCCTATTTTTCCTGAGTTGATATTATTTCCTGATCACATCCCTGATTATATCTTTCTAGACTTCATTCTTCCCTCTAACTCTGGTCCATTACCATGGCAGAGGGCTATCTATCATATCATCCCAATGAAAACATTGGCTTCTTACTCAATTTCCTGACCCATGTATCAGAGGTACAGATTGTCCGAGCCAGCAGGCAGTCAAACAGAGGTTCATCACAGGTCAATCAATGATAGACTGTTTATTTACACATTATAGTAATTACTCAACTGCTTATTTATTGTTATGAAGCAATTGGTTCTTCAAAAACGCCTGAATTAACTGTTTATTTGAACCATGGTTTCCGAGAACTATTAAGCTGTCAAACATACCACAGTGTAGTGGGGTTTATTGAGCTGAGTTGTTTTGTCTTTATCAAGTGTGACTGCTTGTATTCTCATGGTGGTCTGTCTGTCTGTCTGACCAGGCACTTTACAGAGGTTGTGTAGCCACAGTGAACATCCTATATGGTGAATACCTTGTCAGATTGATGATTGACCCTCCTCCCATACTGTACATTAGCCACCTGGGGATAGGAAACATTGTTAGTTGTTAATGTCCTTAGACCTCACTGTTCCCTCCATCTCTCCCTCTCTGTCAGATGTGGACGAGTGTGCAGAGCAAATTGACAACTGCAGCACCGATGCCATCTGCCAGAATACGCTCAAGTCATACAAATGCATCTGCAAGTCAGGCTACAAGGGGGATGGCAAGCACTGTGAAGGTAAGGTGTCAGAGACGCACCCATGCGCTCCCATGCGCACATACACACACACACACACACACACACACACACACACACACACACACACACACACACACTATGCTTTACATTTCTCATTGGCTTTAAATGACAGACTCACCTGAGAGAGAGGATAGAGATGCAGAGTGGACAGGTGTGAGAGAAAAAGACAGGTGCAGCCGACTGCTCTTCTGTGTCAAAGATGAAATGAAGCAGTACATTTCCTACACATGTTAGAGAAGAGAATTAAGATAGCGGATGAAACAGCAGCCAGAGGCCTCTGCCTGCCAAACGGTCAGAGATGTTTCCACAGCCCAGGGCTGCCTGTGACTCTGTCTATAGCCTGTCAGACACAACCCGTTTTTTTTTTAGCAGGGAGCGTTCAAAGCCTCTGGACTGTTATTTCCCTCCATTTTTATTAGTATTACTGCAGAACCAAATCACAATGTCATTTTTTCCCCCTTGCTATTATAATTCTTTAATTTATTTGACTGTGTTTTTCATTGCTCTTTTCCTTCAGGTTATAAGGTTTGCTTTTGAATTTAATGTAAAAAGGAAAATTAAAAAATGCCCAGTTGAAAGGCTAATCTAAGCTGAGGACAGAGTAGAGAGCTGATTCCTGACAGAGTATGTGCCTCTCTCTCTTCAATAGCACCTCATCTGTATAGACACCTCCAGGCCCATTAACAACATCAGTGTAGTTGATTGCCATGAGCTGCCTTCCTCTCTTATATTGAGTGGGTTAATAATCATATTAGTAATCATAGTAGGTAGAAGGCAGTGCAGTACAGTACAAGGCTGTTGGTCCTGCCCTGGTTTCTACACAGTGAGTTCTTATTGACTTTACCTGGTTTAAACTAAGGACAGGAGGAGTATGGCCTGAAATAAAATGTATGATCGTGATTTGGTTTTATTTTTTCATTTAAGTTTAATCTCTTTGCCAATCATTAGAGTTTACATTTCTGTATAAATTACTGTGATTATTGGTCTACTGTTAACGAAAGCATTGACTGTAATGTTTTTTCTTCTTCATTTTTATTACCTAATTTAAAGTACACTTTAATCAAAGAAAAACCTGATGTTTTCTGCTAAAGGGTAAGAAACCTGTATAAATTTAACCAGTGTAGGTTTCAACTCCAACCAAAAGCTGTGCAAGCGGAGCAGTAGATGCGATACTGTAGTGGTGTAGATATGGTGTTACTGAAACAAACACCTTAAACCTTGGCAAAGCATGGGCCAATGGCTTGTATATGCTGAGATGGAATTACAGCCTTTGCTATCATAACATTTGACGCGTAGGCCTTGTGCTTGTGGATGAAGAAGTGTGGAAATTGAGATATTAGGATAGCTGTTCAAATATACTGTCCCTGTGTTACTTTTCAGTTCATTCTGAAATTGTACACACTAGAGTACACACTGGTAGTATACACTATATGCCAGGCGATTAGGCCTGGCTGTCGCCGTTCCAATTAATTCCAAAGGTGTTCGATGAGGTTGAGGTCAGGGCTCTGTGCAGGCCAGTCAAGTTCTTCCACACCGATCTCGTCAAACCATTTCTGTATGGACCTCACTTTGTGCACAGGGGCATTTTTATGCTGAAACAGGAAAGGGCCTTCCCCAAACTGTTGCCACAAAGTTGGAAGCACAGAATCATCTAGAATGTAATTGTATGCTGTAGCGTTAAGATTTTCCTTTTTAAGGGGGGCCTAGCCCGAACCATGAAAAACAGCCCCAGACCATTATTCCTCCTCCACCTAACTTTATAGTTGGCACTATGCATTCGGACAGGTAGCGTTCTCCTGGTATCCGCTAAACCCAGATTCGTACATCGGATGCCAGATGGTGAAGCGTGATTCATCACTTCAGAGAGCGCATTTCCACTGCCCCAGAGTCCAATGGCGGCGAGCTTTACACCACTCCAGCTGACGCTTGGCATTGCGCATGGTGATCTTAGGCTTGTGTGCGGCTGCTCGGCCATGGAAACCCATTTCATGAAGCTCCCGACGAACAGTTGTTGTGTTGACACACACACACACACACACAGTCTTGCGTAGCTAACCTTGTCAGGACTTACAATTCAGTCCCATTCAAAATCCTATTTTCCCTAACCCGTAACCCTAACCCTAAACCTAATTCTAACCCTAACACTAATTATAACCTTAACCCTAAACCCCCTAGAAATAGCATTTGACCTTGTGGGGACCAACAAAATGTCCCCAGTTGGTCAAAGTATAGTTAAACACGTCTACACACACACACACACACACACACAGCCCTATAGGTAATGCTTGGATATATACTGCATTGTTTACTGCATGTTTTTGCCTGTTTCTCTGCATGTTTACCCATACAATAACACCAAGCTTGAGCATTCTGTATTCAACATTAAAATGCCATTATAAAATGTAAGCAGTCACAGACTGTTAAGCACAGGAACAGTATTTATACCCTGCTACTATAGGTCCTTAGAGTTCTGCTGAGAGATGAGAGAAATAAAGCAAAACAGGGAAAGAGAAGAATAATAAATATTCATGTTCTAGATGTGGTACTTGCTGATGGGTCCTGACTCACGGTGTGTGGAGGGAACTTTGGTCCTTAGAGTGGTCTCAGGTGACATGTTGCACTGAGACTCCTGTTGGCAGGCTGGCAGACATGAGGCTGGCAAACACACCTTGGCAGGGCACACCCTCTGTCTCAGGATGCCAGGGAGGTTGTCAGGGAGAGCAGGGAACAGGAAAGGCTGCCAGGCTTGTTCAGAACCATTCTATCCATTCAATCTAGTCTAGTCCATCAGCAGGGGAACCACTGCAGCTGCATCATGCCTCAGTGCCTCTTAGCAAAGTCCCCTGTCCAAGTCATCACATAGACCTCTCTCTCTCTCTCTCTCTCTCTCTCTCTCTCTCTCTCTCTCAATCTCTCTTTCTTTTAACCCCTAGAACATTATTTAGTTTTTATCTCACTGGTATTGCCCATGGAGTAAATCCACCTGTTTGATAGGAATTTGATGGTGCTGCATTCAATGTGAATGAGTCAAATTGGTCTGTAACAGACTGAATAGTGAACAGACTGAACAATGGAGTTGGGTGGATAGAATCATGTTGATCTTGAGAAATGACAGTGTTGTGAACAAGAGGGAGGAAGCCTCCACTCGTTGAGGGGATGAGATGCTCTTAGCCCAGGGTAGATGAGAGTGAGACTGGCATTCATGTCTCCTGTGTGACATCAGCAGCAGAACGTTGAGGTGACAGGCTGCTCTGGGAGTTAAAGGGAGAGTGCACTGGTCCAGGCTCAGCCCATTGCTGTCAAGTCAAATCAAGCACTGAGTAATCTGTACCAGGCAGCTGCAAAGAGGAGCTGAAGCACCCGGATTGTTGGCCCTAAATGGGCCAGAAAATAAGTATCTCTTTCTAGTTATCTTTCTCTGTTTGTCTTTCTCTCCCTCTGTCTATCTCTCTCTCTCACACTCTCTCTCCCTCTGTCTCTCTCTGTCTCTCTTTCACTCTCTCTCTGCCTCTCTCTCCTAACACCCATCATATCTCAGCTGTTATCTCCCTGTCTTCATGGACAAATTCACTTTCCCCATCCACAGTTACTGTACCCTCTCTGCCTGCCTCTAAAGGTTGAGTCAACTTGACTTACTGTGTCTGTGTGGCAGTATTTATAGTACATTACACATATCACACTCTTTTGGCACACCAGGTCTTGTTTCATACCCATTTACTCCCATCACACCCACTCACTGATTCATTCTATTCTCATCTTTAGTGTTAATGTATATTTCCTTTTTGTCTTCTGCTCTTGGATTTGTAGTGTTTATGCAGATTTCATGAGGGATACATGCACCAACGTTTCTGACCTGAATGCAAACAATTGTTGAAATAACATACTCCTTAAACATGTCTTACAAGTAGCAAAGTTTGTCATACCAATCTCTGTTTCATTTGACCAAGAACACCCTCTCAGGCTATATGCTGAGTCGAAACCTTGGGTGGTGGGGTGCAGGTCAGTCATTAACATCCCGTAGTCCTAACCCATAGGCCTTACTCATTTCATAACCTGTCCCTCTGTCTCTTCCTCCCTGCAGATTTAGACGAGTGTGCGAGTGAGTACAACGGTGGCTGTGTCCATGACTGCATCAACATCCCGGGGAACTACAGGTGCACATGCTATGACGGCTTCCGCCTGGCACACGACGGACACAACTGCCTTGGTGAGTGTGTGTGAGTGCGTCCTGGTGTGTGTTTTCTGATGAACAGATTTATGACCTTGTGTCCTTACAGTCACTTTGTTGGATAGCTCAAGGAGAGAACTATACTGAACAAAAATATAAACGCAACGTGTAAAGTGTTGGTCCCATGTTTCATGAGCTGAAATAAAAGATCCCAGAAATGTTCCATATGCACAAAAAGCTTATTTCTCTCAAATTTTGTGCACAAATTTGCCAAGATAATCCATCCAACTGACAGGTGTGGCATATCAAGAAGAGGATTAAACAGCATGATCATTACACAGGTGCACCTTGTGCTAGGGACAATAAAAGGCCACTCTAAAATGTACAGTTTTGTCACACAACACAATGCTACAGATGTCTCAAGTTTTGAGGGAGCGTACAATTGTCATGCTGACTGCAGGAATGTCCAACAGAGCTGTTGCCAGAATATTGAATGTTAATTTCTCAAACCATAAGCTGCCTCCAACATTGTTTTAGAGAATTTGGCAGTACGTCCAATCGGCCTCACAACCGCAGACCACGTGTAACCACACCAGCCCAGGACTTCCACATCCGGGATCGTCTAAGAAAGGGGGCCCACCCATGGCTGCGCCCCTGCCCAGTCATGTGAAATCCAAAGATTAGGGCCTAATTTATTTATTTCAAATGACTGTTTTTCTTCACTGAACTGTAACTCAGTAAAGTCTTTGAAATTGTTGCATGTTGCGTTTATATTTTTGTTCAGTATAAATTACTGTAGCACACATAAGGTCCCTGAGTAGGAAATGCCTGGTTTACTTGCACATGTCCAAGTCTTAAATATTGAATTTGACATAATTCATGTTGTTGCATGAATTTATCTTCCAGACTGGATGTCTATCATACCTCAAAAAAGGGCTTTGGGGCCGGGATCATTTATTTGTCAGGGCTAATGTGTGACTTTTAGACTACTACCACAGACAGAACAATGAGCCAGATATTTCACTGGATGCATAAATGTGAAGCATGCGGTTGGCGCTTCCACTCACTACCACTGTGACCGGCAGTGGGAGAACGCGCCAATAGTATCTCACTAGCTCGTGCTTGACTCTGCCTACTTTCTTGCTCGTTCTGCCCACTATGATTAATTTGCTCCCATTGAAAAGACAGGCTCTGGTCTACCTTGGGTTAGTTATAAAAATCTTTGCTACTACTGTAGTTCACTTCTTGCAAATGTTTCCTGGTCCCACATAGCAAGTAGACTATGCTCTCACAACTTCTGTTTTCCACATGCGAAAAAAGCCTGAATTTATGAAGAGCTTGACCCTGGGCTCAGCGCTCTGAGTGAGCTGTAAGTGGACCAGACTTTCTCATGGCTTAATATTACACCAGTGTGCCATTCATATTATCCCCTTGGAGCACACATTTACATTTTAGTAATTTAGCAGACGCTCTTATCCAGAGCGACTTACAGTAAGTGAGTGCATACATTTTTCATACTGGCCCCCCGTGGGAATCGAACCCACAACCCTGGTGTTGCAAGCGCCATGCTCTACCAACTGAGCTACAGGAGGCCATTTAACTTAAAAGGTTACAAAATTAAGGGAGTGTAATTCTGCTCACGTGCTAAACATAGCCACCCTCTCTCTCCCCCTCTATTCTTCTCTCCCTCTCTCCACAGTCTCCCACTCCCTCCCTCTCTCCCTCCCTCTACCATCTCTGCTCTCCCTCCTCTCCCTCTCCCACAGGCTCCCTCTCCCTGCTCCAAAACCCCAAGTCAAACCTGGCTTCTCCTCAGACAGAAACATTGATTTGAACCTCATCATGAAACATTTGAACCTTTGATGTTGTTTGTTGCTGTGTGTTGACCATGAATGAGAATAGCAACAAGTGTGATTTGGTATAACTACTCTAATCTGTCATAGACAGGTTATGTGTTGACAGATGTCTCTCTCTCTTCTCTGTGAATCATTGTCTCTTTCTGTATTATTGTTGGTTTACAAAATGCTTCATTGGTGTAGGATAGAGTGATTATGTGTTGGTGGTGAATTAAATCAGTGTGTTCTTTCTAACACACTAACATAAACAGTAGATAAACTATTTATCAGCACAACCTACAACTTTACTTATCAACATTGTATACATGCTGTGGGCTTGAAAAGTCAACAACTACTCATATATATTTATCATGCCCTTAAAGAACTGAAAGAGTCTTTCACTATTTTTCCTCTCTCTCTCTCTCTCTCTCTCTCTCTCTCTCTCTCTCTCTCTCTCTCTCTCTCTCTCTCTCTCTCTCTCTCTCGCTATCTCTCTCTCGCTATCTCTCTCCTAACTCAAAACAAGCAGGGTTATTTTCCAAGTCATTTAGCATGGCCCATTTATTTGTGTGTGGATAATTTGCTATGCTGTGGATGAGCTCATCCCTTGCATGCAGGTGTGTAACTGGAGTATCTGCGGTTGTGGGCCTGCTGCCTCTTCAGGCCATGCTTCCATCAATCCCTTTGATATATTTCCCTCTATCTTATCATCCATATACTTGTTTTATGTGCAGGCACACACACACACAAACACACACACACGCACACAATCACGCACACACACACAGAGATGTACACACCCTTGCATACACGCACCCTTGCACATACTCACACACACACATAGTTCTGTATTCAATTGTTTGTTAGTGTGTGTGTGTTCATGTGAGGATGATTTGTTATGTGTGTATCATCCTATGAATCTTCCTGCCACGGTTCTACTTCAGTGTTCTTCACAGATGCCCTCTTGGCCAGCAGGCAGAGAAATCATCCAACTAACCCTGCTTTCTCTTCTCTCACACTCCCTCCCAGGTCTCAGCGTCTTTTCATGGATTTAGATGTATAAAGCTAGTCCTTGTCATTCTGCATTACACATGGTTTTACTGGTAATATGCCGTAGTTAGTCCCCCCACAGATGTGAATAACAAGTGGATGAATCATCATTGAATCATTTGAATCGTTTTACCTCCCATAGAGTCAGTGCAATAACACATTCAATGAACAGATGTATCTTTTTATTTGCACACATTGAACGATTAACAAAAGTAAAACGTAATTAGCGATAAATTATTTTGATAAACTATTTTGAGTTGGTAAGGCATGTATTGGTTCTGAAAAGGTTTCTAGCCCTTCGAGCACCACCTATTCTTTCCTAGCAATTACCCTGGCCTTGTGGGTTGGATGAGAGCTTGGAGGATTTGGAAAGAATACCGTCTTATACATACCCGCTCCAGAATGCTAAGAGATTCATCCTTACCACAGAAACAGGATAGGAAGAAGCATTGGTGGGGGTTTCATGTTCCCCCTTCGATAAGATTAGTTATATTGGCCTGTAACTGGAGTGGCTGTGCAGCTGCTGCCCAGAGGAGCTCAGACCTAATTGAGGCTCTGGGTAGTGGGTTGGAGAGCAGACTGACACCTGGACGGGACAGTGAGTGTAATCAGTGAGTGATTCACTCCTAGACCCACCTGATCTGATCCTCCAAAGTTCACATAGAGCCAAGTCCCTTTCGCCTTTACCCACAGAAAATCTATTGTTTAACACCTGAAGTTGATGATTCACATGTTTGGGTTGGCTTTGATTCCCTCTCCTCTCCTCTCCTCTCCTCTCCTCTCCTCTCCTCTCCTCTCCTCTCCTCTCCTCTCCTCTCCTCTCCTCTCCTCTCCTCTCCTCTCCTCTCCTCTCCTCTCCTCTCCTCTCCTCTCCTCTCCTCTGCTGTTGCCCTCTGTCACACGGCCCTGGCTCCTCTCCTCCTGTTGCCCTCTGTCACACTGCCCTGGCCTTAGCCAGCAGGGGTTGCTGTCTCTGCTAGTCAGGCCAGGGGCCGGGTTGGGCTAGGCAGGAGTTGCCAACGAGGCGTTCTTCTGGCCCCCACTGACCGGCCAGCACCACATGACTCCTGGTAATTGGCTCTAGCAGTGTTAATGATGTTGGGCGGCAGCGGCAGGCGGCGGAGCCCTACACACCTCACAAAGACATCAGGAAGTCAGGTGGAAGCAATGTGATGTCACAGCACAGTGAATCTGTGCATGTGGAGTAAGATGCCGCTGTCGGTCACTGTATAATTTACCTTATGGTGTGCTCTTGTAGTCACTGATGTCTTGAGATCTCTACGACGAGGTACACTGTAGTGAAGAAGTGAAGCGGAAACAATGTTATTATATTCTTTATGAGCTAAATTGCTTTTTTTTAAAGGCCTTTACTGAATTACCACACCTAGTTCATAATGATGTTGGGACAGAAGGAATATTTATGCTCTTAAAAAGTAGCCTATAGGCAGTGGTGTAAAGTACTTAAGTAAAAATACTTTAAAGTACTACTTAAGTAGTTTTTGGGGGTATCTGTACTTTACTTTACTATTTATATTTTTTACAACTTTTACTTTTACTTCACTACATTCCTAAAGAAAATTATGTACTTTTTACTCCATACATTTTCCCTAAGACCCAAAAGTGCTCGTTACATTTTGAATGCTTAGCAGGATAGGAAAATGGTCAAATTCACACACTTATCAAGAGAACATCCCTGGTCATCCCTTCTGCCTCTGATCTGTAAGACTCACTAAACACAAATGCTTCGTTTGTAAATTATGTTGAGTGAGTGTTGGAGTGTGCCCCTGGCTATTCATATACAGTATATTAAAAAAACAAGAAAATGGTGCCATCTGGTTTGCTTAATATAAGGATTTAAAAATGATTTATACTTTTACTTTTACTTTTGATACTTAAGTATATTTAAAACCAAATACTTTTAGATTTTTACTCAAGTAGTATTTTACTGTGTGACTTTCACGTTTGCTTGAGTCATTTTCTATTAAGGTATCTTTACTTTTACTCAAGTATGACAATTGGATACTTTTTCCACCACTGCCTATAGGGGAAAAAATGGATTTGAATTCAATTTGTTCACACACATTCGCATAACAATCAAAAGCAAATGCATGATGTCCATTATTCCCCACTAAGGTACAAATGTCCCCACATTT